TTTAAAATGACACTCTACCTTAGATAATCGACTCGACCGGACTACATATTTATTTCATTTGTTTAGCTAACTTAGGACTTTGTCTTCTAGTTTTACAGTTGGTTTCTCTAATGATTGGTTCAAGTTAGGGATTGGTTCAAGTTAGTTGTTGTATGGCTTTTGTCGTTGGGGGGCGGGGTCAAGTGCTCGCAAATTAGGGTGGCCCGGCCCCACCCCCCCCCCCCCCCCCGGTTGAGACACGACATCACTGGATAATCAAACTTTTCAATTTCATTCCACATGTGACAGTCGGCCAAATATACCGAACACAGATCAGGATCTTCACCAATTTAATTATAGCAGTGGATATTTGGCAGGCACCGGTTTCCTTTTAGTTAACGTTATTCATGGAGGGGATGGAGGCTTGCTGTGATTGGCTGATATCATATTGCGTCATATTGGTGAAACGCTAGTTGGCAGAAGGAATCAAAGAAGACCTCCCGCAAACTAACATTTACTAACAGTAACAGAAAGCCGGCGCGGCTCAAATCATATTTGAGCAAACCAAAGAAAGTGAAAATAACGTTTACTAAAAGAAAGCCGGCACCGGTCAAATATCCACTGCCTTTAATTGTCGGGTTTTCCCGTTTAAACGAACGATCAACTGAAAGCGTTCTCTTGACTATCTCTTAGGGAGCCAAAGAAGAGAAAATGACTCGGTCTGCCACTGGACTGTTTGAAGAACATTTCAATCATCATTATGGCTAATTATCTATAACTTTTTTTTTAAATGTACTTTCTTGTCATTAATTTTCGAGGTCTGTACCCGTCATTTATTTTGTCATAGTCTTCTCAATATACACGGTGTATAAAAAAGGAAACGCAGATATAATGTAAATTATAAAAAAAAGCCTTATAAATACTTTCAAATAAGTTAAAAATCATATGAAACGCCCATTGGCGCACCCAGGATTTGGCTTTTGGGGGGGGGGGGGGGGGCTCACACATTTTTTTTTTTCAAATTTGTTAGAAGGTATTTTTTTTTTTAAATGTTGCCCAAATGTTTTGGCAGCAGACAAAAAATGGGTTTTTTGGGGGAGGGGGAGGGGCGGACTATTTTGGCGTCGGTGGCGCCACTTACACCCCTATTATACTACTCGAAAATAGGCCACATACATATCACCCAGGTCAAATCGTGGGACTAAAAACAAATAATATTTGTATTGTTATTAATCATTTCTGGTAATGAGACAAAGGATTCCTCAAAAGCGCCCTAGGCACTGTAGCTCGCAAGCCTGAAGAAACCTGTGGAGAGAAGACAACGAGAAGAATTTACAGTTTTAGAGGTGGGAGGAAAAGCCCAGAAGAATATTCTGGGGAAAACCCACGGAATCAGGCAGGGACTGAAAACCCAATCCACATATTGGCCCAGGCGGGATTCGAACCCGGGTCACAGCGGTGGAAGGCGAGGAAAGTACCGCTACGCCAACCTGACTCCCCGAATTGAAAACCTCTGGGGGGGGGGGGTTCAACCCCCCCCCCCCATCTTTGAGGGCTTATTTTATATTTTAATTCAGTAGCAATGAATGCACACAAGGTTCCAGCAAAAAAAAGGCATTGGCCTCTGAGATGGCTGCTATACGCATGTTGTAAAGTCATATTTAGAAAATCGCCCAAAGCGTCGAATGATATCGAACCTCCCCCTCCCTCTGGACTAAACGCAGGATAGTACATGTATAGGACTCTGTGTAAGTGGCCCACGTGACCCGGCCTACACCCGGGTATCGGGAAGTCCGCGTCGCCATTGCAGTAGGCAAAGAACGTATAGCGTCGCGCAAACTAGGTAAGAGGCAAGCCTTCAATGTTGTGATGGACGGCAAAACTCTGAGAAAAACGCGAAGCCAACACCTATTGTGATTGGCAGACATTGGTTGGTGCACTGTATAATTATAGCGTTGAATGGCTGCTGTCATTTTTGTTACGTGCGTAGGAGACAAAAAACGTCTTTTTATTCAAATTAGGTTTTGCCCTTCACCGACGTTTTAAACACTGTATACTCAGTGTGTTACCTTCCGAGTGAAAGATGGGGAAAAAATCACTCTGGTGGGACTCGAACCCACGACTTCCTGCTTTCTAGTGCAGATGTCTTACCACTCGACCACCGAGCTATTCACGGGATCGGTTGGCTGGTTCGAATCTGATGTACATATAGCAGCGAGTACTGCATAAACTATTATAAGATGGAATTTTGCGTCGGGGTGATATAAATCAAATTAGGTTTTGCCCTTCACCGACGTTTTAAACACTGTATACTCAGTTTGTTTTTTCCCCCATCTTTCACTCGGGAGGTAACACACTGAGTATACAGTGTTTAAAACGTCGGTGAAGGGCAAAACCTAATTTGATTTATATCACCCCGACGCAAAATTCCATCTTATAATAGTCTTTTTATTCATTCATTGTTTAGTATTTGGCCGGGATAAACAAAGAAAGTCCTCATTTCCAGCAGGTTCCTTTTGGTAGAGGAAGGAAAGAATCGTTCCAGAAGAGGAATGAATACTCCTGACAAAATACATGGGGGAAAAGCGACTGTGTCAGATGGGACTGATGAGATGCCCAATCAATCTGTTGGTCCCGCGCCGGGCTGTAGTTGAAATAGATGGAAAGCGAGGAGGAAAATACACCCACGCCCACATCATCAGCTCAGGTAATAGACGTTTCCACCTCACTACATATCATGTTGAGTTTTGACCAGAATATTGCTGCTCTGCCGGGAAAGTTTTTCAACTTGTGGGTCGGCGAATAAAGCTACGGCGTAGCCTACGGAAACTCAGTTCCAAACGTTCGAAACCCTTGTAACAATTAACCAATAAGATTGATACACAAAGAAGAAATATATGTTATACTGTCTTGAAATGAGTCTAGTTAAGAACGTAGTCTGGTTCCCAGACCAAAAGATTCTGACTATTCCTGATGAATCTTAGGTCCGGTAGCCTCCGGTAATACATTGTATTACAATTTACGTCACGTGACTAAAACGGGAGGAATTCCTCCTTTTTCCGAAAATTTTCGAAGTTTGCCGAAGTCGTTTCGTCGACAATCGGATAGCGCCCGAGTATTTCCGAGTATATAATATAGGTTTAACTAACTGCTAATTGCTTATTAATTTTATTTTAAATGAGTTGATAATCAATATTCATTGTTTTCATTTAGAAAACTTGAAATTCAACGACGATTGTGTGCATCAAATATACTCGGATTGTATGGGCGAACTTTTTGCTGCGTCATGTACAATTTTGAATTTGACGACCGTTACCGAGATTTTCCAAAACACGGTCTTCATTCGGCTCCGCCAGCTAACAGTGCTATTATTAACTTCAAAGAATGTAGGCTACCCTATAAATAAATCGATTAACTTATTTAATATGTTTCCATTCATATCATATAATAACAGCAACCTACCCTAGCCTCTTGAGGGCGCTAGTTCAATGAACCATGAACGTAACTTAACCATTATGAACTTAGCTGAAATAGACCTTTATCATGCTGCCAACACTTCAGTCATGTTCCCTGTATCCAATAACAGTACTGAATGATAATGTTTTTTGTGCAAAAGAAACCAGACTATTGTTATGTTTCTTCCAGCCTCGACAAATCAAGATGGCCGCAACATGATAATGGTTTATTCGAACACTCGCCATGTTCTCTTAAAACAATTGCACCCAAAGATCAAAAATCATTTCATATAAGGTTCTTTATTCAAACACTAACAATTTTTAGTGAGTGAAATGCTCTACAACAAATTCGATAAATAATTGTCATCACGTGTGTTTTGTTTTACGGAAAAAAAATCGAAAGTGTTCATGTATTTCTCTATTGGGCTTTTGTAACCCTCATAAAAAGGCTTTCCTTTCAGTTTGCTTTTGTGCACAAACAGATCTGCTCTGAAAGCAGACTGGTTCTGGTCTTACACTAACGCAGGCGCGGATCTAGGGGTTGGGGGTTGGTCCCATAGCTCTGTCAAAACTTTTTTTTTTCATAGAAATTCAAGAAAAATAATGCGAACCCCCCCCCCCCCCTGCTCTGACAACCTAAAATATTATACTGGTAATAATGTCCACCTGTGTACAAAATACGGTCAGAGCTAGCTTGGTTAGGGGATATGTGTACAGTATTCTGTAATAATCGTCGGATTTGAACAGCGCCCCCATTGAAAGTATGGTGCGAGCCCCCTCCCCCCCCCCCCCCCAACCTATTGATTTTCGGAGGCCAAGTGTCCGGAGAAAAAAAACCTGTCTACATTTGAAATTGTTTTGCTGATGAAACACCCCCCCCCCCCCTCCCCTGCAAAACACAAAACTTCGTGAAAGAGAGAGTGGCGGTAATAGAGTGCCTCATTAGGTGCGTCTCTGGATAGAGCGATGGGTAGGAGTGACTCGTTGTATTCAAGCACTTTGGTGTATTAGGGTTAATGGCAAATATTGAGCCGGTTTGTGGAGCAAAGTGCACTAGAAAATAATACCAATATACAGCATAACTTCGAATTGAAAATCAAGATTTTGAGCTTTCCACTTGTTTAAAGCTCTGACAGGAGCTCCTACATGTCACTTTGTGGTCGGTCGGTCTGTCTGTTTGCCTGTTTGTTCCCGATAATTGACGAAAAGTATGATATGATGTTGCAAATGTACCATCGGCGTCGCGTTTTTTCGGCGTTGCATTTTTTTTCTGCTCTGACAGGGATCATTTTGATCGATTTCATGCAAGACTGTCGCGCAAGACTTCTTGCAACACGGCCAGGGCTTATTGTTCACTCGCAATTGTTGGTCTATGCCAAACAATTCCTACCCGGCAACGCTCGATAGTGGGCCTTATCATATAATGACGACACTTTTTGTTCACATGTGCGCTTTTTATGGGAGCCGGAGCCGAGTGGGGCCGAGAGCCAACAATTAAGCTCCCACAAGAAAGCTCACATGATAAAAAAGCATGACATAACATTATTGTCTCATGTCTACTCGGGTTAATGGGGATCGGGTTGGCCTAGCGGTACTTCCCTCGCCTTCCACCGCTGTGACCTAGGTTCCAATCCCATCTTGGCCAATATGTGGAATAGTTTTCTGCCCCAGCATGATTCCGTGGATGTTCTCTATAATTCTTTTGTTTTTCCTCCCACCACCAAAACTGTAATTTCCTTCCACATCTTCTACCAAGGAACCCACTGAAAATAAGTCGAAAGACTTTCGCGGGCCATCCCGGCCAATTGCCGGATAATCATAAACAAACAAACAAACAAACAACGACACACACTGACTGAAAATGGTTCTAGTCTTTCTGTACTCTGGCCATCTCAGCCTAAAGGATAGCCAATCGTAACGGCAGCCTGGTTCACCGCGGTGGTGGGATGAGCTACCTAAGGCTTGCTCTTTAGAACTAACCAGAGAGTAGTTTTGTTATCGTGCTCATTCAGGCATTCAATCACTGGCAGCCTACCCGCCAAGGATGAACATTTCAATAGCGATGAACGGACAAGGAAAAAGAATCTATTGATAAGCAAATGTACCAGTCGTATGCTGCCTTTCTAGATTTGTAAGGTAGAACCGACCACAAGCTCCAACGTATGTAGTGGGCGAGTGTTTCGATTCGGTTCTGTGATGTATAAAGATCTGGTGTCGGATTAATCAGTGTTTCGCATTTCAGATTCTTGTTTACATTTATCTGTCACCACAGAGGAAACTTTAAGATTGATTAGTAGATATTATTTAGGAAATACTCGGCATGGCAGGCAGGTTTAATCGTGTGTTCGTCTCCCTAACGTCAGTGATGGCAGTTTTGTTGTTCGTGTCGATCGTGATTTGGAATATGGACGGCAGGATGCTCCCTGGAAGAGGAGGTAGGTTTCCACTTATTGATTTACTCCATGATGTATTTTTGTTTCCTGTTGAGTAAACTGTGGAGCAGTAAGGAGTAAAAACAAGACTCTAAAAGTAAAAACAAGACTCTAAAACTCGCCTGCTGGAACATCAGGACCATGCAGGATGCAAAAAGACAGCAACCGTCCGCAGCGTCGTTTGTTCTGCATTAACAATTGGGGATGGTCTTTGAAGGAGAAACAACAACAATTTGAAATATAGTCCAGGTAAAAATGAATTGCGTGGTCCGTATGTTTTCGTGTATAGAACCTGGGTGTAGGGGTGGATCTAGCTTTCAAGAAACGAGGGGTGTGTTTGATATAAAGGGAGGGGTGAGTCAAGAGCGTGCCGAATGCCCTGCCAGGGGTCTGGGTCATGCTGTACGATGCTTTCTCCTGCACCATAAGGCAATTCTAGCCCCATAAATGTGGCCAATTTACTGGATTACATCCGTAAATAAGGGCTACACTTGTGCCGTAAATGTAGAACTTTGTCAATTTTTCATTTTTACATTTAGATTTTGTTTGTAGTTAATTTACGCTTTAGAAGCACACTCACCCTCTTAATGGCGATATAAAAGAAGTCTGGCCTTTCTCAGACGTCTATTTTTTGTGTAATTTTTCGTGTAATCTCAACGACAAATTCATAGAAGAAAAAATCAATGAAAATGAGCAGCGACGACGTGAATTCGAACCAGGGATCTTTGCATCCAAATCTCATCACGCGCTACTGTGTGGTACTAAATAACATCAATGCTCTTGACATCATTATTCTGTTTCATGAATAAGCATACTGATCCGACCGAAACTATTGAATTATTCATGACTTTGGAGCATCCCGCCTACGGAAAAGAAATTCGCTGGCGGCGCACGGAGCCAACGATCTCCTGTACTCGGGTGTCCGGGTTACCACATGCGCCTTGACTCAAGTCTACCTGACTAACGGCAGAAACGATCCAGCACGCGCGTGATCTTTTCGATGTTGGTATTTAGACGTGTGCAAACGTGTACAAACGAACCTGGAAATTACACGAAAAGTAGTCTGGTTCCCAGACCTGACAATTATTCCCGACGCTCACGTCTTAAATTGTAGGTCAGGCAGCCTCCGTGGCTAAAAATAAACATGGCGACATTAATGGCCCTTTTTCAAAGCGCGGCTTCGTTTCCGATTTCGCTTTATCACTTGTAGCTTTTAATGTTCTGATCAAATCTTTAAATAAATCACTTGCTTCGTAATATCATACAGTTATGATAATACAGTTTGATGTTTTTGTAAGATAACATTGAGTAATGTTGATCTGGAATCTTCAAAATTACGGAACCAAATAGCACTGTTAGCAGGCGGAGCCGAATGAAGACCGAGTTTTGGAAAATCTCGGTAACGGTCGTCAAATTCAAAATTGTACATGACGCAGCAAAAAGTTCGCCCGTACGATCCGAGTATATTTAATGCACAAAATCGTCGTTGAATTTCAAGTTTTCTAAATGAAAACAATGAATATTAATTATCAACTCATCGTTAATTTGTTGCGCGTCCACGAGGGACAACAAAAATGGCGGGGATTTATCGCACAGTGAATGGGCGCGTGTGGACGCGCTGCCGATCTAGTCTTTTAAATCTATATTCATAAATACCTCAGACAGTTTAGCTATTCCTATTGGTCGAGAGCCCGTCACGTGGCCGGTCTTAAACGGATGATAAAGACATGGCTAGCTGGTCTTAAACACTTTTCCAGTGTCACAATAAAATGTGGACTCCTAAAAATCCAGTGCCTCTTACCGTTTCATTGGTTGAACGTTCACAATCCCCACGTAGGCATGCGCAACACTACAAGCGAGACAGAATTTTATAGTTCTAAATTCAAAACGCAACGCCCCAGGTGCGTTCTGCGTGACATCGCGCAGAACATGCTACGCGCGCGTCAATCTCCATAAAAGGGTTGTTTACATCTTACTCGCCAGCTGAACACTCCATTATTTTGCTAGAGGGATGTTTCAAAAAGCATGAAGTGAACTTGTTGAACAAAATCGGGATTTTTTGAACGAATTATTTGATATTTTTTTACGGATAAGGTATTTATGAATGGGAATAAATATGTGCTCGGTCGGTATTTATCACTCTGTTTAATACCGCTTAGAGTCTGGGTGCTGATAATTACCCTCGCCTCCGGCTCGGGTAATTATCAGCACCCAGACTCTAAGCGGTATTAAACGAGTGATAAAAACCTCCGGAGCACACATTTATTCCCTTATCTATGCCTTTTACCTACGCGCGCGCGCGTATACTCACTCCACATGTGTGAAAGTATATAATTTATGAATTGCAAGGTTTTGTCGAGCACCGCCGTTGCCTAGTGGTTAGGCATGCTGGCTAATGATCGGAGGTCTCGAGTTCGATTCCCTGCTCTGCCTGTTCAGAATTTGCTCTTTTTTTCAACAATTTAAAGTTGTATCTTAAAAACGTTATTTTTCAGTCGGATACTACTTGTATAGCAGCAAATTTCCTTTTTCTTTTCTGATCCGAGGCTCTGGAGGATTTTTTTAGAAAGGGAAATAAAGTCCGAAATCCGTACCAAGTTGAAAAATAGTAGCCTCCACTCAAGCCTGGTTATAAAAACCAAGCCCCATAGGAAAGCGCACAAAGTACCCCAGATAGTTGAGTAAAAAAAAATATCGCTGCCTGACCTAAGATTCATCAGGAATAGTCAGAATCTTTTGGTCTGGGAACCAGACTAGTTAAGAACGATAAAATCGCCTACAGACCCGCATGCGCACACCGCACAACCATACAACCACACGTGAGCTCAGACAAAGCCGTGGGCGAGGTGGAATCTCAGGTGTTCCAAGATTTAAGCCTTCGATCTGCCGTTCCAACTCAAGCAGCCAGGCGATGAAGCCCAACCCGCCGTGCAGCATGTCGCCTCTCCGGCGTACACGTCGCCTTCTCCCCCGCGTGTTGGTCTTGATGATGGTTCTCACCCTGGGGCTGATTTGGAAAATGAGTTCCTCCAATATCAACGTCGAGAAACGTAAGTCATTCTTCCTTTTCTGATGGTCTGACATTCAAAATCATCCTCCCTCAATTTTCTATCAATTTAGTAAAGATTTTCCTTTCATGCTCCGATGCAGAGGACTTGTCGAAAACAAACTGAGCCTTGTTTTCCAATTTGTTTGGGGGAAAATAATTATCCACATTTTTTCCCCCAAATGTGCCTATGGTTAAATTCTTTTGTTTTCCTCTCAAAGGGACTATTGTATAGATTATTTTCCTTGTAACTTTCGTGTGTTGTTGCATCGTGGTAAACCTTTCGGAAAGAGTGTTGCAACCTAACGCCACTGTTTTCTTCAAATATCATCTCAATGAAGGTCGGTCGATTGCAAAACTGATGATAAGACATGAATCTGGTACTTAAAAATATTTCAAAAGTCCATAGACTTTGTACACAACCGCTGAAGTGGCGTCAGGTTGCAACTTTCTTTCACATCTTTCTCGTTTTACATTTGAAATGTTCATCAAAATGGGCGATCCCAGTCGTTTTATTTCAGCTTTAAAAAACTACGCAAGTTATGGACGTGTGGGTAAAAAAAAATCCACTTCCCGAACCCTACCCAGCAACTCAATGTTTGGCATTCCGTAAATATTTGTAGTTAAAGAACTTTTCCGTCTTGCCGTGCCACGCATTCTTCGTGTCCCACTGGTCAATCATGGGTGAATTTTAACCTTAATTGCTGACATCAATCGCAGCTACAAAAACATCTTTCTTGTATGACGATTTTCACGATATTGTGTAGGGAACATTTGCCTTATAAATGACTCAACATTATTAAGCCACTTCGGAATAAATGGTTCTCCATTAATGTACCCAAACAGATTGACCACTTGTCTCCTTGTGTGGTTGATTAAACTGACAAGTTGTGTTTCCTGAAGTTTGGAAGGATGTGGATATTTGGCCGGCACCAGTTTTCTTTCAGTAAACGTTGTTTTTTTTTTTCACGGAGGCGTTCTCTGACTGGCTCGTGTACATTGATGTCATATCGGCCACGCCGGCTTTTATGTAGTAAAAACTATAGTTTGCCGGAAGTCGTCTTTGGTCCTCCGGCACGGGTCCCGCACCTTTGACCTATTGATTTGTCATGGTTATTAAAGGGAAAATACAACATTTGCAAACATCAAAAAATAAAACTACCAAATCATTTTGAAATACCTTGCTGGACTGTTAGTGAATGACAGTGTAAAGCATCCTGTAAAATCATGGTACCTGGTATACTGTCCTTTTCAAGAAAAGTGGTATTTTTGTATCAATTTCCAACGCTGATCGGCCGATCAGCGTTGGAAAAAACTGGCTTTTTTTTCAAATACTGGCCCCAGTTGACCATCGCACTTGTTTGCAATCGATTACACACCTATGAACGGGTACAAGCCAGCTAGACTGGTTCCCTGACCTTACAATTCCCCAATATATGTAAACTGCTCTGTTTCTTCTTAACTGGAGTCAGGGAACCAGACTACAGGAAAATGATTGTTTTTCTTGGTTTTTATAGCATTTTCGAACCCAAAACCTCAAAAAAGTCAGTGTAACTATATTTGCTATATATTTCCAACCCCCCAATTCCATCCATTTCTGAAAATTACAGCAAAAGCAAATGATGTACATGTATATTCCCTTTAACCGGGAATAAGTAGCTTCAATAGCAAAGATCAGTGGAACAAAAGTGGAGGTTTCAAATTCAGGAAAGACAACTTTTCAGCAACTGTAGCATGCCTCGTTGCGTGGCTCTAGACACGGATGAAGTCCGGTATTTGAGACACATTCATGAAGGTATAAGAGAACATAACATCTTTTCAAAACACCAATTATACCTTTTAATAGACGCAAAGAAGAGAAGACCAGTTTGGCTCAGACTGGGACCTTGAGTGGAAAAAAAACATGCAAAACCAAATCAGGCCAACTTAACTCACTCTTTAGTCAGCAAAATTCTCCCAAATTTTCATTGGGCAAAGAAAAGGTCTGCAGTATTTCACCAACCAAGTTTGAAGACTCAATTCAATTTTTAAAGGAAACTTTTCTTCAATAATTTTGCACATGAGAGAGAAGTGAAGTATTTTCAAAATGAGGCTGAAGACTATATAGACTGGTACATGTCCAACTATGTCCGACTGCTTAAAAAACAAACTGACCTCTTCATTCATTATCATTAGTCTGGTGGCTGACTATGGAGAAATGTGTAGAAATAGAGACTAGTTGTTTCAGGTGCAAGTCTAATTTCCCAAATTTTCGGACTAAGTTTGACTGTGCACACAGTCTGCATCACGGGACTTCAATGACAAATTTGTAAACAAGTAACAATGGTCCATTTGTGTCTATTGTTTTTGGTAACTTAACAACTGTAAAAACCACAAAAAAGCCATGATCAGGTTTTAAGCCATTTAATATGATTATTGCACCTAAAAACGTTTCATCTTATTAACATATTTTTCCTTTTAGCAAAATAGAGATATTGATTAGCAGGGGGGTTTTTTTTCAGACCAATTTTTAAGACCTTTTTGAGGCACATGAATACAGTTGTGCAACCTGTGAAAGACCGCTCTAAGTCCAGCTTGCTACATCTTTGTTTTGTATACTTTACCGCAGTATTTTGTATCTAATTGTCATTTTGTGCAGGTACATGTTTATCGTAAACTCATTTGATCATTAAATCATCTGGTATAGAGTTCACCCCTGGTGGCGCACTTCCGGAACCCTTGAGTAGGAACATTAACGTGCACAAATCTAGAATTTGCAATTATTTGTGGTACATTAATTTCTTAAGAAAATCACCCCCCAAAAAACGGGCCTTTGTAAAATTATTGTAACTATCTTCTCACTTTATGGCAAGTGATAATCGCCTTATGTGAAAGAGAAGTATCATGTCAAAACTTGACCTCTCACTCGGTACGGTGTATACTCGTTCATAGATGAACATTTATGAAATAATTTTGTGCCGGTCATTAGGTGAAAACTTAAAGATAAATAGCAGACCAAGATGTCTTTTAGGATTAATTTTTTGAAAGGGAATGTACATCATTGGCTTTTATTGTAATTTTCAGAAATGAACTATTTGAGGGGTTAGTATAATAGATCAAATATTGTTACACTAACATGTTTGAAGTTTTGTGGTCGAAAATGCCGGAAAAACGAAGAAAAACAAAAATGTTCCAGCAGTCTGGTTCCCTGACTCCACTAAAGATGAAATAGATCAATATTTATAGATGCCGGAAATTTTTAAGGTAAGGGAACCTGTCTAGCCTGCCTGCACCCGTTCTTGAACATCCAATAGCAAACTAAATTTGGACTGAAAAAAAATGGTAAATGGTAAAAATGAAGAATAGTTAGGTTTTTCCAACGGTGGTAGGCCGACCACCGTTGGAAATGTATACAAAAATACTATTTTCTTGAAAATGACTTCACACCAGGTGCCATAATTTTACAGGATGCTTTATACTGTCATTTACCAACATCCTAGTAAAGTATTTCGAAAAAACTTGGTAGTTTTATTTTTCGATGTTTGCAAATGTTGTATATTCCCTTTAAATAAGCTTACAGGACTCATTAGCATTTACGCGGGCCGCGCGAGTTTTCCGGAAGCTGAGCCGCATTGCCCGGCTTTCAGGCTCTATTTTGCGGTCCAGTTGTATATCATGTAATTGGACAATAATTCACAAGCTGCGTTGACGCGATTCTAACGCGACAGGAAGATTGTCAGGAAAACAAGATTAACATTATAAGAATGACCCCCCCCCCCCCCAACTTGCTGAAATAGTTCCGGAATACTTAGCCCGATCGGCATGAATTTTTTGGACTTTTCCTAATTTTTTATCGGAGGATAATATAGCACAACAAAGGATTTCTTGTAATTAAAAAGACAAAATAATGGTTAATCATAAATTTTGGTTTGTTTATATGAAACCGTTGAATATTCATTTGGAGACAAAAAAAATATGTATTATTTTGACCCCACCAACCAATATTCACTTCAGACTTACAATTAAGGTCACATTATTAATTATTATTTGTGCTGGGAATCCAGTATGGACGCCATTGGCACGAAAAGCCGCTTTAAAGTTTCACTTGTTCTGCATAATCCACTCTCCGAATAAAACAATACTTTCAATCCAACACTAAAACAACCTTACTGATTTGTAGGCTAAATTTCAATTTTGTAAGTTCTCAGTAAAGGTATTGACTAAGTCAGTGCTTATAATAGGCCTATTCAATCTAAATGTCTTTGTTCTTAAAACAGATGTGGAACACGACATGATGATCAGGCAACTTCCGAAATCGGTGGATGGAACCATCTTGAAAGCGGAAGACTGGCCTACTTCGTCTAAAGACACCCATGCACGCAACAAGGAACCAAGGAAACACAGAATCGTCATCATTGGCTCCGGACCAACCGCTCTGGGCGCTGCTAAACGACTCTACGATCTCGGGCAAGGCAAAGACAACAGCGTGATCACCATCCTGGAAGAGCTAGGTAGACCAGGAGGCCTTGCTTCTTCTACCAGGGATGATAAAGGTTTTCTCTGGGACGTCGGAGTTCACGTCGTCTTCTCCCACTACACCTACTTCGATCGAGTTCTGAACACGGCAGTACCCGAGTGGAACTACCGGCGCAGGGCGTCATTTGCCTTCATGAAAGGATCAGATCAGAACAGGAGATTCATACCGTATCCAGTTCAGAACAACATCCACGTCATGGATAAAATAGATCAGAGGAGATGCATCAGAGGATTAGAGGAGATTACCAAAAATCCCATAAACCGTAACCCCACAAATTTTGACGAGTGGCTGGTACAAAACTTTGGAGAGGGTCTGGCTGACGTCTTCATGAGGAAATACAACCGGAAAATCTGGACGGTCGACACCAACGAAATGAACTCGGCCTGGGTTGGCGAGAGGGTTGCCGTACCAGACATTGAAGAGATCAAGACCAAGATTAAAGAGGTAGATAGTGGGAAAAAGGCGAAGGATTCCGAGTGGGGACCAAACCTTTTCTTTCGTTTCCCTAAATATAATGGTACTGGTGGCATTTGGGAGTCAGTTGCAAGACTGCTTCCAAACCACTGGTTTAGATTTCATGAGAAAGTAATTAGTATCGACGTCGACCGAAAATTTGTCGTAGTCGAGACTGGAACTGATATCAAGATGCGTTACGCCTTAGAGTACGATACTCTCATATCGACGGTCCCCTTAGACAGTTTTACATTCTCTTTGAAGAGCAAAGATAGGTCTTTGAAGGATATGAGAGAGCTGGCATCCCAACTGGTGTACACGCACACTCACATCGTAGGCGTCGGCCTCACCGGTCAACAACCTAAGTCCCTCGCTGATAAATCTTGGGTGTATTTTCCGGATTCTGATTCTCCGTTCTACCGCGTGACTATGTTCTCCAATTATTCAGATGATCATGTACCCAAAGAGGGGCTATATTGGTCGCTTATGTGCGAAATAGCCGAACCACAGAGAAGTTCCAATCCTTCGTATTGGAGTAGAGAAAACTTGATTAAAGAATCAATAGAAGCCTTAGTCTTGTACGGGTTCATCACTGCTGATATGGTAGTCTCCAAGTACTACCAACGCTTCGAGCACGGATACCCCGTCCCGTCACTTAAAAGGGATATCATACTGAATGTTATACAACCTTGGCTGAAAACAAAAGGCATCTACTCCCGTGGACGGTTCGGAGGTTGGAGATATGAGGTTGCAAATCAAGATCATTCCTTCATGCAAGGGGTCGAGGCTGTGGACAAGATCCTAAGCGACGTTCCGGAGTTGACTTACCCGGATCCGAATCTTGCCAACTCCAAGAAAAACACGGATCGCACGATCCCCTTGGATTACGAAATCGTCATCGCTCATTATAACGAAGATCTAGATTGGCTGAAGCCTTACGCTGACCACACCCTCCTGTATCATCAAGGGAAAGACCTGGGGCCGCCATTCCAGTTCTACTCTTGGGAACGGCTTGAGAATCTCGGCCGCGAGGCGCATGCGTACCTGCACCACATCACCACCTACTACGACCGGCTCGCTGACGTCACTGTCTTTGCCCAGGCAGATCACATGTCGGGTCGGTGCTATGAAACGCCGCTGGAATACATAGACTCCGCCAAAAAAGGCGTGCCATGCATGAAACTACCTGAGAGGTACAGGGATTGGGGAAGGGTGAAGTTTGTAGAGGGCTACTTAGAGGCTTACGAGAAGAAAGGTGACCCTATCCAGAGGGCCACTGCGACCTTTAGACAGGTGTATGAACATCTCTATGGGCACAAAGCACCTCGTAGAGGCATATGGTACTGCTGGAACGCCTGCTTCGGGGCTACCAAGCAGCAGATCCGGAGACACCCGCCAGAATTCTATAAGAAAGCTCTGGCTTATGTCAGTAGATGTTCTAATCAAGAGGAGGCACACTACTTAGAGAGACTGTGGTACCACTTCTTTGAAGGGGTTGATACGAGCTGAAGGATTTCTTATCGGATGCTAATCAAATGTACGAGAATAAAAAGAACTATTCCTAGTTTCCTGTCCTATACGAACACAATTCGTGAACTTGGCGCTGGAGGCTAGATGTCAGTTACCATGTGTACGATTTGATTTTTTTTAATGAAAATGCTAAGAAAATCTGTAGCCCATACGTCGTGTGGCACTGTTATACTGACTCGTAATTGAGGAAAGAGTTTTTTTATTTTAGGGCCTACTTGTTATTATTTTATATTTTTCGGTTGGGGGGGGGGGGGGGAGTCACCGAGTAAGTCCTCGATTAGATTTGCTCATCATCGTCCTGATATATAGAGGTCGATGTGTCAGGGTTAAACAAGTGTTAAAGCTAATGTACAGTAGCAGTAACCTAACTCCACATGTAATTATTTTTATTGAAAAAAATACCACGCTGCCTTTGTGGGTTGAACACATGAATTGTATTATTTACTAAATTATGTGTTATTTTGCACAATTTCTAATGATGCAATCGAGGAAGCGTATGCTAAATAAAGTTGTTTTACAGTCCTGTTTTGCTGAGACTTGACTTTAAAAAACACATTGGGTAAGCTCTGTAAATTTCAAAACTAAATCTCTGTAATTTGCGCACTAATTTCTTTGGCTCAAGATTGACATCATCATTAAAATGCAAGTTTACTGACAGAAAGTTTACTGCGTACGTTTCCTCGATTACATCACACCTACTGTAGGTATTCCTTCAATCTCAGGAAAGGACATACTCCTATCAAAAGGCCATAACAGCTGTTCTTTACACTGAACGTATCATTTGATTCGATTTTCACTATCCGAGATCGTACTTCGGTCGATCTAAATCAACATAATTTAGAAGATCGGACGGTTGAATGGACCTTTGTTTTGCTTTTGATTTAGATGTATAAACACTTACATCATTGTTTTGTTATTCTAAATTATAATGATCAGAAATACAAACATATGAATGTACCTATAAGGGCCACTCTTTTTCTTTCCTTCGGTTAGGGTCAGAAAGTGGGTTATTAAAATTATCATATTTGTGACCAAATCCCTGAAATATGAGTCCTCATGACAATTTTGTTTTCGCTTATCAGTGTTTTACAAGCCTTCATTTTGATATATCTCTCCCTTAAAAATATTCAGATATTTTGTGGATTAAAAAGTTGAGGCATTTCTTTTGACTCCATACGGTTAGATTCTTTTAAAAGTTAATTAATCAAAAGTAGCTTTGGCGACTTGGACTCATTTTGTTGGGTTGGGTCACATTTGATGTTGCCTTTTGGAGTTCAATTCAAAGAAAAAAGGGATGCTGTAACATGAGTGAAGAATGCTGCAGGGAGATAAAGTCTCACACTGAAGACGTGTCGATATTTTTTCGTCATTCGTACTAATTAGTGATCAGCTGAGGCCTATACCAAAATATAGTCTGCCCAGTAACATTGTCTTGTAGATTATGAAATATAATTGTGAGTTTTTTACATTACGTGGGGTACACTTTGTTTGAAAATGATGCATTACTTTCCAACAAGCCTTGAAAAATAACGCGAAATGTGATGATTCTCATACAGCTATAGTGTAATAGTTAGTAATGATTGCATCAAAATTTCAAAAATGGTTGATGAAGAAACGGCTCCTTATGTTGTGTATTTTGATACGAGGTGAAACAATATTGTTATTTGTCGTTTATTATGAAAAAAACATCGTTGGATAAATGAATCTTTCTGGGAAAATCACCTTTAGCCGCATATAATTTATGTATTATATATTTTTTGACTTTTGGTGAATGCGCGGCCAGAAATCCGGCTGAATCCGCCGCGGCTACCATGAGCCAGGTTGAGATGAGGGCTTCAACTCAAACATGTCTGCAAGCCACGTAGCTTGCTGGGAAAAAATCTGCGAAGAAATGTGCGACATCGCAGAAATCTGCGATAAAAATGTGCGACATCCCATAAATCGGCGCAGATTTCTGCGATAAAATGTGCAATATCGCAGAAATCTGCGCAGAAATGTGCGATAAGTGCAGTATCGCAGAAATCGGCGCAGAAATGTGCGAAAAAATGTGCGACATCGCAAAAAATGTGCGCAGAAATCTCGATGTGTGCTGTCCCTTCATAAGAAACCTAATTATCTGAAGAAAAAAAAAATCCTGGCCGGAACAGCTATAAAAATTGACAAAGACAAACCCACTCTACAATTCACGTTTAAATAATTTTATATTTTATCATTAATGCTCCTGCACTAAACGAGAGCTTCAAATTGTATGAACAAAAAAATAACGCCGCCATCTTTTGTTCTTGCCGTTGAAGCGTGAATATCCGACTCCATGAAATAATGGACTCATTGGTAGTATTGCGCGTGCCCAAGTACGATATTATTCTATTTTTAAGATCATAATATGGAGAGTGACCTGTCACGCGCGAGGGATTAACCAATTATAGGGGAAAGGAGTCCGATTTTCATAAGACACCGTTCCTCATCTACTCCCGAATAAGTGGGGAGTGAAAAGCCTGTTCGCAAACACCGTTCGCGTGTTGGTTCTCCTCATTCGATATTCGAAACCCCGTTCTCGATCTCGTGTTCACTCAATACCAGCGTTACCACTCACAAAATCTGAAAAAAACCCAGATTTTGCGCGGAAAAAACACTAGAAAAACACTAGATAGTAAAACATGATTAATTTGTACACGCACCATTAGTGCATGCTCAGTGCAATGAACCATGAACTAAGACAATGCCATAGAGCTATATTACTAAATTTAATATAGGTCTATGGACAATGCCCGCATCTGACTCTCTAGAGATCAATGTCTGTCATCACGCAACGCGTCACGCACGGCCGGTGTAGCATGAATTTAGGTTTTATGAAATACGGACTCATTGGTGGTATTGCGCATGCTCATGCATAGATAATTAGGAGAGGGGCTGGTCACATGAGAGGGTTTAACCAATAAAAGGGAAAAAGAGTCCGATTTTCATACGAGTCCGATTTTCATATGACACCGGCCGGCCACTGTGACTAGACTGTGACCCTGTCTGAAAGTGGCTTAATTGTTGTTCAAATATTGGGCTAATTTGAAATGGATGTAACTTTTTCTCTCAGTTATCTTCTTGTGAATGGTATAAAAAAATTATGTTTCATATACATTTGTTTATGAAATTCAGATTTTTCAAAAAACACCAGATTTGGCGATTTTAAGAAAAACGGACGCTAGAACCCCAACTCGGACCAAAAACACCCAGATCTAGTGTAAAAACGCTAACAGTGGCAACGCCGCTCGCGTATTTTTTTCCAAGGAGGGTTAGGGGCAATGTCATGAATAATTCAGTTTTTCCTTTTTGAATCATTGCAAGACTTAGATTCTCGTTCTATTTTCCCCTTAATTTAAAATTATCTCAGTGATAAATTTGGAGAAGAAAAATAGCTGATGAAAATGAGCAGCGACGACGTGGATTCGAACCAGGGATATTTGTATCCATAGCTCATCTCGCTATCCACTAGGCTACTGTGTGGCCGCTCGACGACAATCGTTCTTTTTTAAATGCTTTAATGTATAGTAACTAGTTGAGTAACTAACAACAATGCTGTTGATGTCATTGTCCGTTCTCATGGATAAACATGAATTATTCATGACATTGCCCCTAACCCTCCTAGGAATAAAAATTACGCACGCCTCTCAATACGAGAACGGGTTTTCGAATACGCCCTCAGCGTCGGGCGTTCGTCATCGATGCATCACGCGGACAGGTGTAGCGTGAATATCCGACTCCATGAAATGTGGACTCATTGGTAGTACTGCGCACGCGTGAGTACGATACTAAGCTATTTTTAGGATCTTTCGTGTTACGTACGTGTGAGGGATCAACCAATAATAGGGAAATAGGGGTCCGATTTTCATAGGAGTCGGATTTTCATGTGACACCGACCTCAGAGGTCAAAGTCCAAATTTGTTTTGTGTGTGTCATGTCATGCATGTGTGTGTGTTGCCGGTTTGTCTAATGTATGAATGTCAGTGAATGTGCGGGCCAGAATCGAATCGGCTTTGAATTGATGCTGGCAACATGGCGACCCGATTTCTCAGCTGGCTTTTCTTTGTATTGATAGCGTTGGTCGTTCTCACGGCTGGAATCGCTTGGAGTATGGACTTCCAACTCTCCAGACTCGTTAGTTCAGGTAAATTCTTTCACTGTTAGTGTATTCCCATTCCTTGACTTCGCCGGTTGTCGTACAGTCATTTTCCTAGTTCCGGATAGCAAACGTATTCAGGCTGCTTTCGGCTCAACTAGTGCTACTCCACGAATTCAAGTGACATTGGTTTAAAAGTTTACCTTGAGTGATGGAGATACTACAAAATAATTTTCAAAATTTAAGCTCTTTTTATTGTGACTTTACGACGTCAAAAGTACCGATGCCGCTTTTCCTAGTAGTTCCGGATCGGTTCAATCAGTTCCGAATCAATCAAAAACTGATTCGCGCGAATTTTCAAATATTAGTGACGCTACAACTTATTTTGATTGAACAAACATTCGATGGAAGAGTTTATACGATTGTAGTGAATGAAAAAAATATTCGAAACCACACGTTAGGCTAGCTGGAGTTACCCAGCCCTGAGTTTTATCATTGGGTTGTCTATTAGGGCTGGAGCGCATTTTTCTCAAAACTTGTAGTATTTGCAAAAAAAATTTGGAAAATGTTCAATTTTGTCCCCGTTACACACTAATTGCAACTGCAACTCATCCCAAACTTGCCTGGAATAACCATTACACAGGTCCTTGAAGTAAAAAACGATCCACGATGAAGATTCAGCCTACAATTGCAGTGAAAACAGGAGGAATAACCGCTAACTTGACAACCTTGCTGGATTGGCCAGGACCGCTATTGGTTTGTGCACAAAAAAAATTGTGTACAATGAATGGCGGTCGATTAACAGGCACAGAGAGCGATCGCTGTCAACTACTCGTTTTTGCCGGCTGCGCTGGCTGTTGGCGCATGACGTCACGCGGAAGCGTAACACCCGATGACTGTTTCATGCACTAGTATAAGGTTTACCACTCGCATCACAGCTTTGGTACTGGAACCGCAACCAATAGTGCATAAAACAGTCATCGGGTGTTACGCTTCCGCGTGACGTCATGCGCCACTATTGACGTCATGCGTGACTATTTCCACAGCTTTATACACGGTATAAAAGTCTAAAAATACGATTTCTTTCGTCAGAGATCGTTAAAATTTATCAATTTTTGTCTTTAAAAAAAAAAAAAAAAAAAAAAAGGAGGCGGCCTCTAAAAAGGAAGCGGGCGGGGACGCTAAACATGTTTGTTTTTTTACTTCGCCTAACGAGGAGAAAATTTATCGTCGATTCGCAGCTGCCGTGATTTTCTTTAAACCGTCCAAACATGTCGAAGTGCGAGTCAGAAATCTGGCCAAAATTCCTTTTCTAAGGATTTTATCAAAAACGATCTTTGGGTATCAAGAAGCTTACATATTCCTTTTCAAAATGCACTCCGTCAGAATTTGTTTTATTGGAGACTAATCCAAAAGAGGTAGGTTTTTATTTGTAGCGATCAGGAACTAGGAAAAATCCAGAACTAGGAAAACGACTGTACTTTTAGTCGTAATATTCCTCTGTTCCACTGTTTTGTCTTTGCTACATGTAGGCAAACCTGTTGTAATATTCCGCCAATCGACATGTTTGGCTACTCTAACTGTTATTGTGTACTCTCATGATCCTTGACCCGCGTACAAAACTCTGTTACACTCACACGCGGTGTATACATTTTCTCACTGTACATGATTTGTGATACGTGCATTGCTGTAGTTGTGTAGTGTGTATTGCAGTGTTGAATAAATAGTGCTCTCCAGTGCCAAGCCAAGAAATCGAGAATAAACCAGGTTATCACAGTTCGTTACAGTTTACACCTGTATATATGTCCCTATTTCACTTCATTAAAAACCGACAAAGCAAAATCAATTTCTTTACGAATTACCACATAAGGCATTTGTGTATAGGATATATATTTTGACCAACATCATAAAATAAAAAATAGGCCCGCCAATTTGATGACATACGACTGTTACTGCTTTCCTCAGAACTTGACTACTACCTAGACATACCTGGCCACATTCTAATGGAGCTGCTAAGTAGACAATAGTGCTTAATGCAGCGTGTCCCAATAAACATTGAGCATGAAGAAATAACCAAATTTATGTAGATTTTCAATGTTCATAGCATTGAAAAGTAAACAGTTTTTCAAGTAATACAACTAACTACTCCAAATCCCATGGAAATCTGTGGATGCAGTGGAGGACAATGCCAGAGGGACCCGCCATTCCTGTCCACGAATGGCGCATTACCGAATGGCATTATCCGACTTAAAGGGAATATACATCATTTGCTTTTGCTGTAATTTTCAGAAATGGATGGAATTGGGGGGTTGGAAATATATAGCAAATATAGTTACACTGACCTTTTTGAGGTTTTGGGTTCGAAAATGCTATAAAAACCAAGAAAAACAATCATTTTCCTGTAGTCTGGTTCCCTGACTCCATATAGAAGAAACAGAGCAGTTTACATACATTGGGGAATTGTAAGGTCAGGGAACCATTCTAGCAGGCTCGTACCCGTTCATAGGTTTGTAATTGATTGCAAACAAGTGCGATGGTCAATTGGGGCCAGTATTTGAAAAAAAGCCAGTTTTTTCCAACGCTCATCGGCCAATCAGCGTTGGAAATTGATACAAAAATACCACTTTTCTTGAAAAGGACAGTATACCAGGTACCATGATTTTACAGGATGCTTTACACTGTCATTCACTAACGGTCCAGCAAGGTATTTCAAAATGATTTGGTAGTCTTATTTTTTTATGTTTGCAAATGTTGTATTTTCCCTTTAAACTCCAACCATGACATCCTCCTATAGTTTTCTAGCGCTCCATTATTTTGTGCGAATGGAGCTACTTTGTTTCACAGAAAGAAACAATCCTTTTCTTCCTACGTAACTTTAAAATGCATTCCTTGGTGTAAATGGAATTGTACTGAGCAATTAATTGTACCACAAATGGCATGCTTGCATATGTCTTTACGTATACAATACAATGAAGTTCTTGGCGTGCTTGGTATAAAATGCTTAACCCCATCATTCTCAAGATGTTGAGGAATATCACTATGATGATGCTGTGATATGCCTACATAAAAAAAAATACAATATAGTTCGGGTGGATAGTATACAAATATTGAATGCTTCGAGTGGTGTAGTAAAACTAGCCTCCCGAGGTGATGCATGGACATTCTATTTTTCCGAGGCGAAGCCGAGGGAAAATAGAATGCTCCATGGATCACCGAGGGAGGCTAGTTTTACTTCACCACGAGATAAAGCATTCCATATTTGTGTTATAACACTTCACCCACAGATTCTGCTTGGTTGTAATATTTTAAATTATTTAAATCTGAACATTGGAATAAACTTCAATTTCAATACAAAATTGGTGGAAAATGTATTTCTCTCTTCCAAACTACCCCTTCGCGAAATGTTTGAACCCAACTCTGTGGCGCGCTCTCTTTGGAACAAAACGCGCTGCGCGCAACGCGCACACCAGCATGCATTTTGCACACATATACCACGCCGTGGAAATAGTACTTTGGCTGCTAATGGTATAGTACTTTGGTTGCTACGGGTAGGCCTATCCGCTCCGGTCACCAGTACCCCCTCACCGGCAAAGGAAGTACAGTTGGAGGTGACCGACCGACGCCATCTTGCCTGACTGCAATTCATTTGCCGCAAAGCGCCACCACTGCGTGTAAATAGAACAAATCCCCTGGTGTACGTGCGTCACACACAAGGAACGGTGCGCGTCAACCAGCGAAATGTCCCGCCCATGGGACGTTGTTGTTAGGTAAAAGGGCGCCCTCTTTTGGTAGCGCACGGAGCTCATAGTACTTTTGGCCGTGCACAAAAAGATAGCAAAAATAGAAAGTATCATGTGACTCGCTCTCGGCCAATCAAGACACAGAATCTGTGGGTGAGGTGTTAAAATCGATATTAGCTCCCCAGATGCGAATATACAATGTATGAAATACATTGGCATATAAATGGAAAATAAAATATGATTCTGGATAGGATTCAAACCTATCTGTACACTAACCAACGAAAATGTATATGAGAATTGATAATTAAATGAATTTTTTGTCATCCAGTATTCCGAGCCATAGGGAATTTCCCTGAACTAGAGAATTATTGCAGCTGTGGTTTATTTTTGTGCGTCGATGCACGTAGGCATTAATTAGTACTGTCCATACTCAGTAACAAATATTGTTGCCAAAAAAAAAAATTAACGAGAAAAACATTTTTGTTCGGGTTTGATCATCTGTAACCCTGAAGAAGGCTTACATGTACATCCGCACTGCGAGTCGACTGGTTCCCGGTCCTTGCATCACTGAGTTAGATTGGGAGCGGGAACCAGTCTAACCCGCGAGGACTGATTGGTAAAGATATTTGTTGAACATTAGCCGCCTTTTTGGTTCTCGTCTCATTCAAAAGTGATTAGCTTTGGTATTGCTAGTAAAACAGCAATTTATAAATGAAAATGAAATTTTGGTGGGAGGTTTTTCGGGGTAAAACTGGAAAATGGCACGGACACAGCACCTGTTAGACATTTAGACAGGTGTGCATGCAGAGCGCTACAAAGTGCTTTCCATTTCGTTTTGGTCAATCAACACTGCAGGTCATTCTAGTGCCACGTCTCACCCTGTCGACAGTGCCAAGCATTTCCACCATTCGGAAAGTGGGTTTTATTCGTTACCGATTTAGACAGATTTTTTGCAAGTTTCTTTCGCTTTAGCCTTAAAAAAAACATAAGGAAGGATTGCCAGGCCGAAATCGTCTTAAATATTCGCAATATTTTTAAAGTTGCACTGCCTGCATTTGCTCTGCCACAAATTCAAGTTTGTCTCCGAACGATTTTTTTTATTTGTAACCCTCCGAAAATAATTATGCTTTAATTCGGGGTGTTTTTGCGTTCATTAAAGGGAATATAGGCCTACAACATTTGCAAACATCAACAAATAAAACTACCAAGTTTTTACGAAATACCTTACTAGGATGTTGGTTAATGACAGTCTATAGCATCCTGTAAAATTATGGCACCTGGTGTGAAGTCATTTTCAAGAAAATGGTA